AGTACAGGTGGATCTCATAGACACTAAAACCTGTAACGAACCCCAATCTTACAATGGTGCCATAACTCCTAGAATGTTATGCGCTGGCTCCTTGAAAGGAAAAAGAGATGCATGCCAGGTACGTGGTTTGACCAGTAGTATGCTGTGTAATTTTTTGTTCATCTTTTGTTTTGAAATCATTATAATTTGCAGAAGGTTTACAGAGGGGTCTCATGTATTCTTCACCTCGTTTTCCCAAACATTGCATCTCACATCCTATAATACAATATAGAATCTAGGAAATTGACATTGGTGCAATGTGTGCTTCTAGTTCTATGGCATATTTTTTTACATGTGTTGTATGTTTGTGTAACCATCACTCCAGCTGAGAGATATTCCATCACCACAAAGATCTCCTTTATAGTAACACTTACTTCTCTATCACTTTCTTTTTTTATCTTTTTTCATTTAAATTCCAGTTGGTTAGCATACAGTGCAATTTTAGTTTCCAGTGTAGAATATAGTGATTCATCAGTTCCATATCACACCTGGTGCTCATCACTACAAGTGAACTCCTTAGTCCCCATCACCTATTTAACCCCCCCCCCCACCTCCCTTCTGGTAACCATCAGTTTGTTCTCTATAGTTAAGAGTCTGCTTCTTGGTTTGCTTCCCTGTCTCTTTTTTTCCCTCTGCTCATTTGTTTTGTTTTGTTTTAAATTTTTTAATGTTTATTTTTGAGAGAGGGAGACAGACAGAGTGTGAGTGTTTTGTTTTGTTTGCTTTGTTTCTTAAACTCCACATCTGAGTGAAATCATATGGTATTTATCTTTCTCCAATTTATTTTACTTAGCATAATACTCTCTAGCTCCATCCAAGTCATTATAAATGGCAAGATTTCATTCTTTTTATGACCGAGTAATATTCCATTATATATACATTATATATATAACATATGTATATTATATGTATATAATATGTATATATGTATGTGTATATATATATATATACACACTACATCTTCTTTATCCATTCATCTTCTTTATCCATTCATCAGTCAAAGGACATTTGGGTTGTTCCATAACTTGGCTGTTATAGATAATACTGCTATTAGGGGAACATGTATCCCTTTGATATTTGTTTATTTATTTATGTATTTATGTATTTATTTATGTATTTATAAATTTACATCCAAGTTAGTTAGCACATAGTGCAACAATGATTTCAGGAGTAGATTCCTTAATGCCCCTTACCCATTTAGCACCCCCCTCCCAATCCCTCCAGCAACCCTCTGTTTGTTCTCTATATTTAAGAATCTCTTATGTTTTGTCCTCCTCCCTGTTTTTATATTAGTTTTGTTTTCCTTCCCCTATGTTCATCTGTTTTGTATCTTAAATTTCTCATATGACTGAAGTCATATGATATTTGTCTTTGACTGACTAATTTTGCTTAGCATAATACCCTCTAGTTCCATCCAAATAGTTGCAAATGGCAAGATTTCA